AAAATAAGTATGTGACACATGACCATCTGAAAAGTGCAGCGAATGAAGCTGGCAGTTGATGGCTAAGTTAAAGTGTGTAACAAAGCCGTGTATGGTGGTGTGTGCCTATAATTCCAGCACTCAGAAGACTGAAGGAGAATTTTAAGCTTTTGCCTTTGAGATAAAAACACTGCAAATTATTTTTCCTTTGTTTTGAGTCAGGGACTTATTATATAGCTTATGATGGCCTCAAACTCATGATCCTCTAGCCTAAATGTCCTAAGTGTCAGATTACAGGTGTGTGCCACCACCCCCAGTTTCCATATAAACACCTATAAATCAATGTTTGTCATAAGGCAGTGCTTCCTTATTTATTTAGTCAGTCATGGGGCTTGAACTCTGGGCCTAGGCACTGTCCCTCAGCTCTTCAGCTCAAGGCTAGTGCTCTTACCACTTGAGCCACAGTGCCACTTCCGGTTTTCTGGTGGTTTATTGGAGATAAGAGTCTTATGGACTTTCCTGCCCAAGCTGGCTTTGAACATGATCCTCAGATCTCAGCCTCCTGAGTAGCTAGGATTACAGGCATGAGCTACTGATGCTTGGCTTCCTTATTTTTTATTGAAAATTTTTTCTGTCCCCAATAACTCACTTAAAGGACGTTCCTGTCTTTATCTCAGAGTTATAGCTCAAGAGATGAGAACTAAAATGTAAGTGAATAGTATTACTATTTTTTTTATTGTGAAAATACCGTATAGAGGGGTTACAATTACATGGGCAAGATAATGAGTACATTTCTTTTCTTTTTTTGGGGGGGGGTTCCGGTTGTGGGGCCTGAACTCTGGGCCTGGGCGCTGTCCCTCAGCCCTTCAGCTCAAGGCTAGCGCTCTACCACTTGAGCCACAGCGCCACTTCCTGCTTTTTTCATTTTGCTTATGTGGTGCTGAGGAATCGAACCCAGGGCCTCAGGCATGCAAGGCAAGCACTCTACCACTGAGCCATCTTCCCAGCCCTAATGAGTACATTTCTTATCAAACATTGTTGTCTCCTCCTTTGTTTCCCCTTCCCATCCTTTCCCATCTCCCACCCTCCCCTACCCCCCTACTCCTAGCCGAAGTTGTAAAGTTCGTTTTTCGACTTGTACATCTCATTGTTGCAATGGGTCCACCTGTATCCCTATTTAAACGATTTGTTTTTTCCCTTCCCCTCCACAAATTATACCAACATCCAATACAGTGAAAGCAGGGGTTATACCGTGGGGGAAGCATTACTATCAAGTACATAATAATTGAAGGGCATACAACAGCTCCTGAGTCCTTTAAAAAATGATTTGCTTTCAATCAATAGTCTATTGATATCATCAGAAGTTTCAAAGTACAAAGTATAAGTGTCAATAGTGCTTTGAATTATACTTTCTCAGTGAGTATATATGTATCTAAAGTGATTATATATAAATATCATATGTATAATATATAATGTATAGCATAATATATAACATATGCTATATAATATATAACATATATAATAGATACTTGTGAAAATATGCCATCTTTGGTTATTATTAACACAGTGTCCATTTACCTATGAGATGCAAGGAACTGGGTCACAGACAAATTATGGAATTTTTTTTGGGGGGGGGTCTGGTCGTGGGGCCTGAACTCTGGGCCTGGGCGCTGTCCCTCAGCTCTTCAGCTCAAGGCTAGTTCTCTACCACTTGAGCCACAGCACCACTTCCAGCTTTTTCTGCTTGTGTGTGCTGAGGAATCAAACCCAGGGCCTTATGCATGCAAGGCAGACACTACCATTGAGTCACCTTCCCAGCCCCAAACTGTGGAATATTTTTAGATTTTTTTCTTTTGGTATGTGTCAACATCAAGTGCGTTGGGGTCCCTGGGTAAGGGTCACAAAATCACCAGGACACAGGGGATGCAGCGTACAAACAGCAATTGCCACTGCATGCTGTGCTTTATTGCTAGTGGGTATTTAAAGACAAGCAAGCATGATCTTTGCCAAGATTTGGTCAGAAAACATTCACACAAAAAATTTCAACAGATACATTTTTACTTGACCTATGAGACAATGTCTTGGTATATTATTATCTTAACTATTTTAGAGCAAGCTCAAACCACTTCTCCAATCTCAGGAAAATGCTTGACCAACTGTTCATCTATGCTCAAGCAAGCAGAAGAGCTACTTCCTCAGCTCCCAGGAGTCTGTGACATATGTTTTGAGATAGGGAGAGAGAACATTTTCCCTCTCTAGCCCGACATGCCAAGAGCTTTCCTAATCCCAAACACAGTCCTCAGATAATCCTGAGGCTGGAGCCTGCATCATTCTGCCCCTTCAACATAGACCCTGAGTCTTCACAGGTATGTAAGTAGTGAGGCTTGAACTCAAGTCCTTGCACTATTACTTAGCTTCCTTTTGCCCAATGTAGGTGCTCTGCCACTGAAGGTAGTGCTCATCTCCTGCTTTTTGGTAGTTAATTGGAGATAACCTGTGTGGGCTGCCTTCAAAGCTCAACTCTCAGATTTCAGCTTCCTGAATAGCGAGGATTACAGGAAAGAGCCACCCCTACCCAGCTTGACTTTTTTTTTTTCAAATGAACTAAAGAGTATCATGCTTAGCTGAAGGTATCTGGGTGGAATTGTCACTGGCCAGTACTCAAAATGGTCTCCAGTGAGAGGAGTGACAGTGTTCAGGAAATGAGTGACCACAGATTTAATTATGCCGTTTGCTAAACCTCTTCTCCAAGGAGTCTCCAAGCTCTGTAGAAGCTAACCTAGCACCAACTGTGTGCTAATTTCTGTTCCCTCTACCTTTGGTATCTTTGCCCCCATTTCTTTTCTCTTCTTTCTCTCTTCCTCCCTCCCTCCCTCTCTCTCTTCTCCCCTCTCTCTCCTCCTCTCCCTTCCCCCTCCTTCTCCTTGTCTCTCTCCTTGTCCTCTCATTCTTTGATGGTACTGGAGTCTTGAATTCAAGTTTGCACTTGCTAAGTAAGAATTATCCTCCTGAGACACCCAGCCTTCATTCCCCTTCTTTATGAGATTTGATATAGTTATTGATAATTGTAATATGTTACAAATTCTCAACTGATATATACTCACATATAATTCACCTTTGCCTTAAATGAGTTTTCAAAAGGATTTTGGTGGCTATCTTGTTAGATTATAGAAAGCTGGAGTTTGTCAGGAAAGGGACTGAAGGAATTAAAAAAGGTTGGATGCTGGCTGTTCAGTGAAACTTCTTTTCATTGTAAGATTGAGCAATTCTAAATGTCCTGTCTCTTTTATGAACAGTGTATAACATCAGCAAGTTTTTGAAACATGTAGATGGATGTTTGTTGTGAAAGCCAAGTTAACTTCTGGTCCTAATGAGACAAGGGTATCTTGTCACTGCTGTCTCTTCAGTGATAATGCTAAAAAATAATGAGTAAGGGGCTGGGAAGGTGGCTCAGTGGTAGAGCGCTAGCCTTGAGCTGAAGAGCTGAGGGACAGCACCCAGGCCCAGAGTTCAGGCCCCACGACCGGACCCCCCCCCAAAAAAAAAATAATGAGTAAAAGGAGGTAATTGGGTGTTTGACAATGTGGAGTATCCAAGAAATAGCCTATGTCTGCAGTCTAACTATCTTCCCACGGGCACTAAACCGAGCTCTACGATATATTTGGCATTCAGGGAAACAGTGTCTCATGCCTCAAGGACTTGACAAGCTGGTTTGGAAGAGGAAATATAGATACAAAATATAATTAGATGAAATGAATAATTAAGTGCTCACTCGTGTGAGATTAAACACAAATGAAAAGGTGTTTTTGTTTTGTTTGTTTGTTTTTTGGAGATAGGGCCTCACTTTGAAATAGGAGTTTTAAGATAATTGGAGCACCCGGGAAAGGCTTTAGAAAATTAACTTACCCATTGCAGTGGTAAAGACCAAACCCAGGGCCTTGTGCACAGTAAGGAAGTATTCTACCACTGAGCCATACCTCCAGCCCTCTAGAAAGGTTTATTTAAGAGACAGGACTTGATTTGAACCTGTAAGACTGAATCAATTGGAAGATGAAGTCTCATGACCTCAAAAGCCATGGAGAACGTTCTGAAAGCCAAGTGTTGCTGATCTGTGGGAGATCCCCAGCAACAGCCAGCACAGATCCCTCAGACACTTTACAGGCAAAGCTTGTAGGTGGATTCAAATGCAGATGCCGGTAGCCACAGCAGTTTGGCGAAGTCCAGCTCAATTCCAAACCGCCTGACTCACTTGCATGCAGCAGATATGGGGACTGACAGTGACCTCAGAATACTCCCTGGAGGCTGCAGTTTGTGGCCCCAGAAGCACAGGCAGCTGCTGTGCGGGGGATGTGTTTGTGAAAACATTTGTCCAGATGTGGATGTGACCAGGATCGTGGTTTTAAGCATGGGAAATTTAGCTGGCCAGGGGTGTAGATAAGCAAAGACAACTATTGCCTCTAACAGTGTGTGTGTGTGTGTGTGTGTGTGTGTGTGTGTGTGCGCGCGCACGCAAGCACATACACACCCATGTTGATTCTGGGGCTTGAACTCAAGACCAGCTTTCACTTGGCTTTTTCACTCAAGGCTGAAGTTCTACCCCTTGAACTTACTTTTTTTTTGTTAGTTGGAGATAAGACTCTCATGGATTTTTCTGCCTAGGCTGACTTCAAACTTTAATCCTCAGATCTCAGCCTCCTGAGTAGCCAAGATTACAGGTGTGAGCTACCAGTGCCCAGCAACATTTTTTTTTTTTGCCAGCCCCAGGGCTTGAACTCAGGGCCTGGGCACTGTCCCTGAGCTTCTTTTGCTCAAGTCTAGCACTCTACCACTTGAGCTACAGCACCACTTCTGGCTTTTTCTGTTTATGTGGTACTGAGGAATTGAACCCAGGGCTTCATGCATGCTAGACAAGCACTCTACCACTAAGCTACCTTCCCAGCCCCCAGCAACAATTCTTAACATTTGGATTTTAACATTAACTTGCTAGCTTTAGTTACAATTTCATAATAATGAATAATGAGTGAAATTAACAAGCTTATATATTACAGCTATAGTAATCTCTTGTTGGAATTATTTCAGTACAATTAAAAACATGCAAACACAAAGTACTTGTTGGTAACGGAGTCCCTTATATAGTCTTCCTTTGATAACGGTGTTGGGATTTTTTAATCCTTTGAACTTTCTTGAATTTTTGCTGTTTCTTCCCTTTCTTCTGCTTTTTTTTTGGCTGATCTACAATGAGAGGTAGAAGGAAAGAGCAATTTTAAAGGCTCATCATTTTTCTTTCATTACATTCCTGACTGTGTAGGATTTTTTTCTTTTTCTTTTTTGTCTTAAAACTGGCTTAAAGCTGGGCACAGGAGACTCACACCCATAATCCCAGCAACTCAAGAGGCTGAGATCTGAGGATGGTGATTCAAAGCCAGCCTGATCAGGGATGTCCATGAAACTCTTATCTCCAATTAACCACCAGAAACCAGAAGTGGATTTATGGCTTAAGTGGTTGAACGCTAGTCTTGAGCTGAAGAGCTGAGGGACAGTGCCCAGGCCTGGAGTTCAAGCCCCACGACAGATAAAAATCAAACAAAAAATTGGCTTAAGGTTGCTCTTTGCTCAGAGGGCTCCTGTTGATTCCTTAATTTGCTCATTTGAGGGGGCATGGCAACAGCTTTCCAGCTTCTCTGTGTGTAGGGGTATGTTGGGTAGTGTGGACTCTTGTTCTTGCTTTGCTTTGTTGCTCAAGGCTGATGCTCTACCACTTGAGCTGCACTTCCCCAGTGGCTCTTCTTCTTTTGCCTATTCTTTTGGCTTACTAGTGACCTTACCCCAGTTTTGTCTATCACTCCTCTGCCTCAATGCCAGCCCTGTGAGATCGGTGCTATTGTCACTCACTTTATACACATGAGGCTGAGACTAGGATAGGGGGATTTGACCAAAGTTGGACAGCTTTAGTGTGTGGTGATGACAGTCTGGCAGACTCCAGAACCTTAGAATTCAAGCACATGTCTGCATGTATGCATGCATGCATGTATGCATGTAGTATGCGGCAAAGATAGTCTGTCAGACTCCAGAACTCAAGCACATATTCTATGGCATTCCTTAAGCCCAACTCTTAACATGTCATACAGGATTATTTCTACTTTGTTTTGGTATGCCCCCCCCCCCCCGCATTTCTTTACTCGTAAAATCTCCAGCTAGTTTATTTAAGGTACTGCGACACAGCAGGGCCCTCATACTTTTCTTTATGCTATCCTCACCTTCCTGGTAAACGCTTTATCATTCAATATCCAAATCAAGATACAAGAAGTCCCTAATACTTCTCTTGTCTGGGTGCAGGTGGCTCACACTTGTAAGCCTAGCTACTCAGCAGGCTAAGACCTGAGGATTAAGGTTCAAAGCCAGGCTAGACAGGGAAATTTGTGAAACTCTTATCTTCAATTAACCATGAGAAAACCACAGTGGGGCTGTAGCTTAAAGTGGTAAAGCAGGAGCCTTGAGCGAAAAAAAAAAAACCTCAGGGATAGTGCCCAGACCCTGAATTCAAACCCCATGACCAAACAAAATGAAACAACAACAACAAAAATCTCTTTTCCCTCTGTTACTCCTTCCTCTATAATCTTTATTTCCCTCCCTCTTTTTGGGCCAGTATTGGGGCTTGAACTGAGAGCCTAGTACTCTTTTTTTTTTTTTTTATGTCAGTCGTGGTGCTTGAACTCTGGGCCTGAGCGCTGTCCCTCAGCTCTTCAGCTCAAGGAGAGTGCTTTACCACCTGACCTACAGCGCCACTTCCAGTTTTCTAGTGGTTCATTGGAGATAAGAGTCTCACGGACTTTCCTGCCCGGGCTGGCTTGATCCTCAGATCTCAGTCTCCTGAGTAGCTAGGATTACAGGCGTGAACCACCGGCACCTGGCTGAGCCTAGTACTCTTGATTGGATTTTTTTACTCAGCTGGCATTTCACTGCTTTGAGCCACAGTACCACTTCTGACATTTTTCCTGTTTAACTGGAGACTGTTGGATTTGTATCTGGGCTAGCTTTGAACCACAAGCAGATCTCAGACTCCTGAGTAAGATGTGAGTCTCTAGTGCTTGGCTATAATCTTAAATTTCTCCCAGTGTTTCACATTTACATAATACATTGAAAATTTCTGCTACAATAGGAAAGGATTCTATCTTATTACCTCAATTTTCTTTTCTCTCTTTTTTTTTTTTGCCAGTCCTTGGGCTTGAACTCTGTCCCTAGGTGCTATCACTTGGCTTTTCTACTGAAAGCTAGCAATCTACCTACCACTTGAACTACAGCTCCACTTCCAGCTCTGTGTGTGTGTGTGTGTGTGTGTGTGGTTAACTGGAGTTAAGAGTCACACAGACCTTTCTGCCCAGGATGACTTTGAACTATGATTCTTAGTAGCTAGGATTACAGGCCTCCTGAGTAGCTAGGATTACAGGCCTGAGCCACTGGCTCCTGGCTTCTTATTACCTTTTTATCTTCAGCGTCTTACTATTCAATTCAATGCAATTAAATGGATGAAATGATAAAAAATGTGGAACTATAGATTGTCTTCCAAAATTAATTTGTAAAGAAAACTGTTGTTTCTCCTGCTGACAAACCTGTTTCTCCCAGTTTTTCAGCAGTCTCTTCACATGTATAGACTCTGGATCTAGACATGTTTGGACCCCATTCTCTAGTGTAGCACTGCAAAGAAATAACAATGAGATTGCTTTAATGAGTTCATAAGTTTTTTGCAGAAACAATGAAAGTAAGAATGGAACTTGCTGATTTTTCTAATGAAATGACCTAAAAGATGTTTTCCAAAGACAAGCTATACTTTTTTTCCCCCAGTCTTGGGACTTGAACCCAGGGCCTGGGAACTGTCCCTGAGCTTCTTTTTGCTCAAGGCTAGCACTCTACCACATGAGACATAGCACCACTCCCAGCTTTTTCTGTTTATGTGGTACTGAGGAATTGAACCCAGGGCTTCATTTATGCTAGGCAAGCACTCTAACACTAAGCCACATTCCCAGTCCAAGCTATGTTTTAAAAGTCATATCTGTCTTTCCATAAATAATCTCAGATTTTATTCATTAATTTTTCTGTATAGTCTGAGAAGTAGCTATCTATCTCATGTATCATCCTTGATTTAGACATCAAAGCAATTAGAACATATGTGTCCCTTAACTATAGCAATTCTAATGTCTAAAAGATAACAGGAAACACAATATTGTTAAAATAAGACTTTGAAAGGTAGCAAAAAACTGGAAATAATCAACATTTCTGAAAGACATTAGATATATAAATTATGGGATACCCATATGATGCAATATAATTTGGCTATTGGAATAATTTTTAGTGGGGGGATTTGTTGTTCAGTGGTATGAAATATGCCAAACATGTGCAAGTCCTGAGTTCAACCCTCAGCACCAAGGGGGAAAAGACATCATTAGAAAAAAATGACATTATTAAATATTTTTGATGTGAGAAAATTCATAATAATTGTTCTAATTTAAAAACTAGTATAAAACTGTACAGTATAAGCCAAGCAATGGTGGTTTATGCCTATAATCTTAACTACTCAGGAGGCTGAGAACTGTGTATCATGGCTCAAAGCCAGCTCAGGCAGGAAAGTCCTTAAGATTTTTTTTTTTTCGTCAGTCGTGGGGCCTGAACTCTGGGCCTGGGCGCTGTCCCTCCGCTCTTCAGCTCAAGATTAGCACTCTACCACTGGAGCCACAGCGCCACTTGTGGCTTTTTCTGCTTATGTGGTGCTGAGGAATTGAACCCAGGCCTCATGCATGCAAGGCAAGCACTCTACCATTCAATCTACCATTGGGCCACCTTTCCAGTCCCTGAAGATTTTTATCTCCAATTAAGCACCAAAAATCCAGTGGTTGATTGGAGATTAAGCTTGAGCTGTGGTTCTAGCAGTAGACTGCTAGAATTAGAGACAACGCCCAGGTCCTGGGCTTAAACTCAGGACCTGCACACACACACACACACACACACACACACACACACACACACACACACACACACACAGAGCTATATAAAACTATACAGCAGTCTCTCCTTATCTGTAGGGGCTTAGGTTTCAAGACTTTCTTTCTTTCCTTTTTCTTTCTTTCTCTCTCTCTCTTTCTCTTTCTTTCTTTCTTTTTTTTTTGGTGCCGGGCATTGAACTCAGGGCCTGGATGCTGTCCCTGAGCCTCTCTGTGCTCAAAGCTAGCACTCTACCACTTGAGCCACACCACCATTTCCAGCTTTTTCCATTTATGTGGTACTGAGGAATGGAACCCAGAGCTTCATGCATGCCAGGCAAGCACTCTACCACTACACCACATTCCCAACCCTCAAGACATTCTTTAGATGCCTGAAATATTTGATAGTACTGAACCTTATGTATACTCTTTTTCTTATATATCTATGCATGTATATTCTTATGATAAAGTTTAATTTATAAACTAGGCACTGTAAGGATTAAAAACAATAAACAATACATTAAAACAACTATAATAATATACTATAATAAATTATTTAAAAGGTTTATTTCTAGAAGTTTCCACCTTATATTTTATTTTTTTGTTTTTGTCAGTTGTGGGGCTTGAACTCTGGGCCTGGGCACTATCCCTCAGTTCTTTAGCTCAAGGCTAGCATTCTACCACTTGAACCACAGCAGCACTTCTGGTTTTCTGGTGATTAATTGGAGATAAGATTCACAGACATTCTTGCCGGGTCTTGCTTTGAACCTCGATCTTCAAATCTTAGCCTTCTGAGTAGCTAGGATTACAGGCATGAGCCACTGGTGCCTGGCCCACCTTATATTTTATATACTATAGTTGATCAAGTATAACAAACCCAGGAACATGAGTCAGCGGACTAGGTGGAAAGTACTATATGTAACATATGATTATATTGGTTTTATTGGTATATTTATTATATATGTGTGTTTGCATATATATACGTAAAGCAAACAAGAGAATTTTGGAAGACCAAATACCCAAGGGGTTAATAGTATTTATCACTGGGTGGCAGGATTGTAAATGGTTTTTATTTTCATCTTTTTAGTTACATGCGTTCAGCATTTTCTAGGAGCCCATTTTCAAGCTTGAACCTGGCTTTCCTAGGTAGAAATTCTTATTAGCCTTAAAGAAATGCAATTTTTTTTGTTTTGAAAAAACAAAACATGCTGTATAATGAACATATATTACTTAAGTAGTATATCACCTCTGGTTCCTAATCTCTATGAGAAATTGATCTTTTATGTGAAGAAAGAAAGTTGCCGCTGGCATTTACAGAGGGACAAACCATCTGAATCGTCACAGGGGCAGGCAGACAGTGTGACATCCACAGTAAAGTCAGTGTTGCAGCTCATGTGGCACACGTGTGTCAGATGAGTTTTTACTTACATGATTTCAGTTTGCTCACAGAAAGGACTTGCGGCAAATTTTTTGAGGTCTTTTACGGATTTGGGGTTGATCCTCTCTTGCTTAGTGTTGATGCAGGTACAGTGTTGATTCCTAATTACTGGGGTTCCTTAGAGAAAGAGAAAGATCACAATGTACATTTAGACTAATGTCTCAATTGATGTGATTCATCAGGATTCTACCTTTGATGTAATCATGATTCCTGCAGTCATTTTACTGTGTTGTTTGTACATCCTCACCACAAAATGTTATAGAGAAAAAGACTGAGGGGTGACATTGTCCAAAAAGAAATGTACTCTGTACCCGACTTAACTATAGCATAACTATAACACCTCTGTACATCACCTTAAGAACAATAATAAAATAATTAAATTAATAAGAAAAAGAAGACTTAGGTTTGGAGAGGTCAAGGATGAGAACAAAGTCATATGGATTTGGAGGAGGGACTAAGTTCTCAGTTCAGATCTCTCAATCTAGAGGTATTGCTCTTAATTATCTTACTTTATAACCTTGGCTGGAAAACTTACACAATATTAATAAATGCCTATTACAGGTTAGACATATATTTCAGGTGTGTTACGTGACTTCCAAATCCACTTATTACCTAAATTGACATAGGTTCGGATCTAAAGTCCTACTTATAACATTTACCACTCACATTCTCACCTACCTTTGTCCTTCCCATTTCCTTGGTTTTCAATAGTGCTTTAAACTTGTGGTGTGTGTGTGTGTGTGTGTGTGTGTGTGTGTGTGTGTGTGTGTGTCTGGGGATTGAGTTCCATGGGCATTAAGCTATGCCCCTGATCCTTTTGCTTTTAGAATGTTTTTCTGATAGAATCTCACAAATGCTCATGCAAGCTAGCCTCAAACCATGATCCTCCTACTTCCACCTCTCAAGTAGCTAGGACTGATTAGAGGTGTGTGCTACCACATTTACCTCAAAGTCTTTAAAATAGAGATCTTCATACTTTAATTCTTATATCCATTCACATTTACTTAGCATCTACTATGCCACACATTAACTACAAAATTTCCACTATATATATGTGGAATTGTAAATAGGTTTTATTTGTCTGCAGTAACAAACCCAATTAGTAGACAGATTAGGATCAACTTTTCTAGATCTAGATCTCGATTGCTTAATCACAGACATAATTATCCAGAAACAAATTAACATAATAAGCATAATTTAGGAGGCTTTTATCTTATTATCAGCTGTCAGTGCTGCTGATTTCACAACCCTTCTTAGAAATCACCCATTTATGTGATCTAGAAGTAATGCAGAAATTCCCTTGGATCTGAGAGGTAATTTCTCATGGTTAATGTTGTAATATGTATTAAACACTAGGCATTCACGTTCCTAGACAGACTTGTGTTTGACTTGGCAGATCTAAGTGATGCCCTATGGATGACTGATCATAATATCAAGATGTTTTTCTGATCCCAATGTTACTTTCTAATAGGTGTAGAATAGTCAATAGTACCTGGTTGAACTTCAAGAATTTCATAGTGAGCCATACCTCTGACTTGACTAACCTAACATAACTGAAAGCTCTTACCTTGAACTCCAAACAGAAGCAGGAGGATGATGCCCAAGAGGAGAGGAATGCCTCTCTCCATAGTGGCAACAAGGGGTGTGCTGCCTCACTTCTATATAGGAGTTCAGGTCTGAGGAATTCTTTAGAGAACATGTGCTTGGGGGTCATATTTATCTAGGGGATCACTTTCCTACTAAACTCTGATTGGCTGCTGTCCTTAGCTGAGATAGCTACGCTGAACTAATCAGACCACACTCTCCATTGTTCTGGGGGAAACCCTACTTTCAGATCCAAGGGAATTTCTGCAGGCTTAATTTCAATTTCACATAAATGGGTGACTTTCAGTAAAGGATGCACTGGCAATCTTTAGCACCCACAGCTGCTCACCTGGGTGAATGGGTTATATAATGAATAGACTACTGTCATGCAATATAAGTTGGGAGTGTGGTTTCCAGGTGGCAAATAACAAAGTCCAGAGAAGTGATTCCCTTATTGTTGTGGCATAGTCTTTTGTATGCCATATGACTCCATTTATCTTTTTTGATACTGTCCACTCAACAACTTAATAAAATTTGATTTCTTCAGGGACCAAGGTTTTTTAAGAACTAGTATTCAGTTAACTTCATATCATTGCTGCTACAGTTGTTTATTATTATTATTATTAAGTTGGTTGCAGTCTTGGGGCTTAAACTCAGGGCCTGGGCACTGTCCCTGAGCTTCTTTTTGTTCAAGGCTAGTGCTCAATCACTTGAGTCACAGGTAGTTAGTTGGAGGTAAGAGTCTTTTTTTTTGCGGGGGGGTCTGGTCGTGGGGCCTGAACTCTGGGCCTGGATGCTGTCCCTCAGCTCTTCAGCTCAAGGCTAGCACTCTACCACTTGAGCCACAGCACCACTTCCGGC